TTTTAAAATCTAGGATTACCCAGAAATATTAAGGTGTGACATTAAATACAGTATGGATGTATGTTATGGGCAACACCCGTAACATCCTTCATAAAACCATCCTCTGCCAAGTCAACTCCTAAACATCTGAAAACATTCACTTCTTCCATACTCCCTCCCTCTAATGTTGTATCCAATTTTTCTTTATCTAAATTGTTTGATACCCTCATCACCTTACTCTTATCTATATTCACTTTCAGCTTTCTACCTTTACACACCCTCCCAAACTCGTCCACTAACCTTTGAAACTTTTCTTTAGAATCCTCAAAAGCACAGTATCATCAGCAAAAAGTAACTGTGTCAACTCCCATTTTGTATTTGATTCCCCATAATTTAACCCAACCCCTCTCCCCAAAGCTGCAAGCTCCTGATGATGTGTTGATTGCAACATGATTATTATTATTATAATCAAGGGGGAAGCGCTAAACCCGGAGGATTATACAGCATTGCAACATGAAAAGCTTTGATTATTATTATTATAATCAAAAAGAAGCGCTAAGCCACAAGGACTATACAGCGCTGCAGGGCAGGAAGGAAGTGAGAGCATCAGGTGGCAAAAGGGAGATGGATGAGTAATAGGTTACGGATGACAGCGGGGTAGTGGATGGTGAAAGGGTAAAGGGCAGCAAGAGACTGAACTAGAAAGGGTTGAGGGGAGTGCGAAAAGTATCATCAGAGTTTGTGGAGTAAATCAGTCGTTGTCAAGAAGTCAATGAGAGAGTCAGGATTAAAGGAGGGTCCATCAGCAAGAAGGGAAGGTAAAGAGAGAGTAGTAGAACGAAGACGACGTTGGAGGTAAATTCTGCGTGCTCGTTGATAGAGAGGGCAGTCTAACAGAATGTGGCTAATCGATACTGGAACTTGACACTGCTCACAGAGAGGAACAGGGTGCCTCTCCATGAGATACCCATGAGTAAGACGAGTGTGGCCAATGCGAAGGCGGGAGAGAGTGGGTCTCCCAACCTCGGCACTGATGACAAGAAGGCGGCCAGTAACCTATGCTCGGTTTAATAGAATGAAGTGTGTTACCGAGCAGAGTTGACCAACATTGCTGCCAACGGGTGCGAAGGTGGGTAGCTATTTGCAGCAAAAATAGTCCAGAAATGGAACACCTTGATAGAAATTGGTAGGTCATGTACTGCTGACCGCGCAGCAGTGTCTGCCTGTTCATTGCCCTGTACGTCGACATGACCAGGGACCCAACAAAAAACTATCTTTATGTTTGGTAGAGATACGGCGTAGCCAAAGTTGGATACGGAGAACTAGGGGATGAGATGTATCAAATTTTCGTATACCCTGTAGAGCACTAAGGGAGTCTGAGACTACTACAAATGATGACACAGGCATAGATGCGATACGAATAAGTGCTGCAAGAATGGCATACAGTTCAGCAGTAAAAATGCTAGCTGAAGATAGTAAATGCCCCCGCACGACGCTGTCCGGAAACACTGCTGCGAATCCAACGCCGTCTGAAGACTTAGAGCCATCTGTGTACACAGCGGTGGCATGAGAATGGGAGTGGAAGTGATCAAGAAAAAGAGAGCGGGAAGCCACCGTAGGCAGTTGAGCTTTCGAGCAAGGGAGTGAGAAAGAACAGACCCGAACAGCTGGAACTTCCCAGGGGGGTAGGGAAAAGTGAGATGCTACATGAACATATAAAGGTGGTAACTGAAGGGAAGACAAGAGTGAATGTAGGCGAAGAGAAAAGGGACGGAGCAAACAGGGGCGGTGAACGAATAAAGAATGTCTACTAATATCGGTGACCATTCTATAAATGGAAGGATTGTGTAGATCGTGAGAGCGTACATAGTAGCGAAGGCAATGGGCATCACGGCGATCAGACAAGGATGGAACATTCGCTTCTGTATAGAGGCTCTCAACAGGGGAAGAGCGAAAAGCACCAAGCCACAAACGTAATCCTTGGTGATGGATAGAGTTAAGGCTAGAGAGAGTAGCAGGAGAGGCCGCGGAATAAATCTGGTCACCATAATCGAGTTTCGATAAAACGAGGGCTGAATGTAGGCGAAGCAGAGTTCGAAAATCAGCTCCCCAGGAACGATGAGCAAGGGTTTTAAGAGGTTTAACCGGCTGTGGACAAGTTGCCTTCAGAGAGGTAATGTGAGGTTTCAGGATAACCTGCGTCAAAGAGAAGGCCTAGAAACCTGACTGTATCACGTTCGGGGATACGGGAGCCATAGAGATACAAAGGATGATCGGAGATAACAGAGCGTCTAGTGAAAGTAATTTGGTGAGTTTTGGTACTTGAAAATTTAAACCCATGCGTGGTGGCCCAAGTGGAAACACGTCGACCGCATGCTGGAGAGAAACTGCAATAAGATGACAGTCAGCGCCTGCACAAGCAATAGCGAAGTCATCAACATAGAGTGATGACCAAATATTGGGTGGAGAACAGAGGCCAAATCATTTATAGCAAGGAGAAACAGTGTTGTGCTTAGAACACATCCCTGAGGGACACCTTCAGCTTGGACGAAGTCCGGGGAAAGAACATTATTGACTCGAACACGGAAATGTCTGTCAGTTAAAAAGTTCTTAAGGAAGGATGGTAGATTGCCTCGAGGCCTAAGGAATGGGCCTGGGCCAAAATATTATACCTCCAAGTTGTCATATGCCTTCTCAAGGTCAAAAAATATGGCAATAACTGAGTGATTATTCGCAAAGGCATTACGAACATACGTATCTCATTCAACTCCCCCATGTGGTTGTTTTGCATATAAAACCATGTAACCATTAGAATTTTTATTATTATATTTAGGGGGAAATTGTTAAACCCCAAGGGTCATATAGTACCTTGGGAAGTGGAGGCATTCTTGTTCAATCCAAGGAAACTGAAATCAAGAACAGTTCCTGGAGCCTTCACCAGCTTAAGAAAAATCCCTGAGAGGAGATTGTGCTTCAACTAATGCTACTTCAATGGATTTTTGTTTGTATGAGATGTCATTTTTTTGCAGATAATAGCATCTACCCAGTTGACTGTGGTTTTTAATTATAAATATATCAAAAGGGCAAATCTGACCACACCCAAAAGTTTGTTTCATTATCCTTATCCCCTCAAAGAAGGCTCTTTGATGCTGGTACGGGGCTCGTGATCCAAGACACTGGAAGTGTCCTTACCTTCCTTGAATCATACCTGACTGGCTCTTGTTCCCAGGGTGCTATATGATCCCTGTAGGTTTAAAGCTTCCCCCAATAAGAATTTCATCCTTAAGATCTTGGCCAGTTCCCTTATGTACACTAAATTGCAGTGAATAAATGAATGAGAGGGAGAGTGGTACATACAAGTAGCAGCCACAAAATGAAAGGGGCACCTGCACTAGAGTAAAATGCACTCCTTCACCACAATGGAATGATGTGCAACCAACCAACTGCTCCAGCACTGAACCTTCCATTTGTACCTCTGTCCTCCACCAGGCAGTGTTGCCCACCCAAGGGCCACAGTTCCAAGAGTAAGCTATACACCAGGGAAAGTATATTCAAAATAGGCTCTTAAATCTGTAAACATTGTTTGCAATGGATGCAGTAAACAATACCCATGGCTATTTGGCTAAGATTTTATTCAACATTTGTTTACCATTTTTACAATCTTTAAAGCCAGTTGCACATTAGCTTCTGATATTGTTGTTGATGAAATATCTCATCAAAAGGTTAGAACAACACACTAGAAAAAAAAAACTTTAATTGGTGATATTCTTCAGAACATAAAAATGGTAAGAAAGGTATATTCTTATACTCATAAGGAAGCACTAAACCTGCAGAGGTATAATCATCAGATATAAGCATGATGTACATATGCATACTGCACTTTATACTATATGTATGGTACTTTAATTCTAATGTATTGTTTGCTGGCACTGCAAGCCAATAATTGTACCTTCTATGAAAGTAAGAACTTAAGTGTTCATCTTTCAAATATTTTGTCAATCTATGATTTTAAAAAGTGGGAATATTAAAACAATATGAACACAAAACATGTATATTTGTAAAATATTGAAACCTGACTAAGACCCTTTTATATGGAATGCACACAATTTTGTAAGTTTTTGTACAATCATTCCTTATGCTTTCTTTTTTCCTTATCATGCATCTTCTTCTTTTTCTTTTCCTTCTTTCTTTTTTTATGCTTTGTATTACTTTCTGAACTACTGTCTACAGTTTCTGATTTCCTCCTTTTCCGCTTTTCCACAACTGGTGATTTTGATCTCCTTTTTCTTCGTTCAGCTGGTGATCGAGATCTGTTTTTGCTCCGACTTCTCGATCGCTTTTTTTCTTTCTTTCGATCTTTTCTATTTTCCTTTTTTATTCTCTTTTCCCGTTTCATCTGTAAAGCATAATATAAAATAAAAGATTTCCACATTTATCATTCCTTCATGAAACATGCAACGATTTTCTTTTACACTTATAATACCATGAGCTTCATGGAACAAACAGATCACTTACATGCCCAAGTCTAACAATGGTTAAATTAAACATGAGGAAGTTGCAGATACAAAATAACTTGAGTTATGAATACATATGGTAATACAGCAGGGCCCCTTATACAGTACAGTGGACCCCCGGTTTACGATATTATTTCATTCCAGAAGTATGTTCAGGTGCCATTACTGAACGAATTTGTTCCCATAAGGAATATTGTGAATTAGATTAGTCCATTTCAGACCCCAAACATACACGTACAAATGCACTTACATAAATACACTTACATAATTGGACAATTGGAGCTGATTTTGAAGTGGGGGTCCACT